GGTAATTTCGAGAAATACAAAATCTTCGATAAATCAGTAAATATTGAAGCTAATTTATTCAAAATTGATGATTGCAACAATTCTTTACCAAGAAATACGTTTATGATAAAATTTTGGAAAATGGGCGTGGCCCCGCCCACTTATGATCACATATATGTATCTCGCTAACCGTTCTAGCAATTTGTACCAAGCTCGGTCTGGTTATTGTGCTTGCCACATAAAAGCAAACCGGCGAAAATTGTTGAAATCGGACTAAAATTGAGGCCACTTTTCATATAACGGTAAATTTCAGATATGCTTGAAATTTCAATATTTCGAAATTTAAGGACGCTAATTTACTTAAAATGTATACACCCCGGCTTATCATATAGTGGTAGCTTTCGGAAAGGTGGAAAACATATATTTAATACTTGCGCCGGGTATTTAATGTTCGGCTCCGCCCGAACTTAGACTTTCTTACTTGTTCATATTGCATTTCTCAGGAAATATTTTTGATAGTTTAACTACTGGAACTTGGTATGGAGATATATAAAATCATTATCTACTCATGGATGGAGGCTGCCACCTTAAAAAAAAATCAAATTCAACTTCAATTAAGGGAGTTACTTATTTGAAAATTATGTTTAAAAATGGATGTCTAGAGGCTTTAAAAAGCTGTCGTTTTAATATATTTTGAAAAGGGTTGCCACCTGTTTGAAAAGTAAAATTTAAATTAATTATACGCAAGCTAACTGAATAATTAAAGTATGGTTGTCCAAAGAAATATTGTTAAGAAACGCTTAGTTTGAAAGTTTTGAATAATATTCAAGTCTTTCACAAGGGTTGCCACCTTTTTAGAAATTAAATTCAATTATTTTAAATTAAATATTTCAGTGAAAGGCACGCAATGGTTCCGGCGGTTCATTTATCGGTGGTGATTTGAGATTTACCCCTGCACAACCCTGCAACCCTGGTGTCTCCGAATGAAGCTTTAATGCATAATAATACTGGCTGATTGCATCAATTGGGCCAATCGTAACACACAAGGCGATTAATCTGGCATTCGCGGCACCTTTTCCAACTTGGCGATTATTCGTAATGACTCCAGCGCCACCTAGCAGCCCTTTTTGGCAATAGTATTGCCTTTCAGCCTCATTCGGCTTATCCATAATTTGCTTTGTCACAGAACGGTCATTGCAATAGGGGCAGCGGTTTTTTGTATTGCACATTAAATAAAAGCACCCCGCAGGTTGCGTCCTTTCACCCTTGATCTGGATATCACCAATACGATCCCTAGGGGAGCTGGAGAAACACGGCTGTCTGGTAATTACCTGCGCCTCCGTGTTTGCACTTATGGTAACACGTAGATGCTTGGGTACCCTCTATGAACTGACCCAAACACCCCCACATTGACACCTGACATAGCGACTGTCTACATCGCAGGAAAAACTTCCGCAGCGCGAACAGCTATTCGACTCAGGGAAACCGAGGGGTTAACCGGCTTAAGTACTGAATACTCTGGAGTTCTGAAGTACTTCGATTTAATTCCTGATCGCACGAACTACTGCGCTACGGAAATGGCTCCTAGGAGCTGATTCTCTGTCCC